GTTCCAAACAGATTGCTCCCAGTGCATATACTTTGAAGGTTGCCCAGTAGGGATATTCTCCTTGTCCTGTTTGAGACAATATCCCACTCTGTCACCCAGGTTGGACTGTGGCAGCCTTGAACTCCCTGGCACAAGCAATCTTCCACCTCAGTCTCCAAAAGCGCTGGGATTACAAGGATGAGACACTGCGCCCTTTGGAGATACATGCTCTTCAAAAAAAAATATTTTAAAATATTTATAAGCTTTTTAAAAATTTTTTTTGCAGTTTTTGGCCAGGGCTGCGTTTGAACCCACCACCTCCAGTATATGGGGCTGGCGCCTACTCCTTTGAGCCATAGGTGCTGCCCTATTTATAAGCTTTTGACAGCCAAATAAAATAAAAATTAACTCGTTCAAAAGGAGCCCTAAAGGACTAGGGGATTCAGGCTTCCTCAGGTCACCAACTATGAGCGGGAGTCCCGCCTTACAGCCATCCATCACTAAGGGCCAGGCACAGGCAGGAATGACCAAGCTGGAGGGCCATTAAACGTCCCAGCCTCCGCGGGCCTGAGGCCCCCAGGGCCTGGTCCTCCTCCACATGAATCCACAATTAGATTCAGGCAAAGCTTAAACAGCCCCAGCCTCCAGACCCCGGCTAGGTCCAAGCGGCAACGTCTTCAACTGCCGCCAGGGGGTGGGACACACGACACCTAGAAATCAGGGCCAAGGCCCTGGGCATCTCCCACCCACCAAGGCGTGGCTCCCAAGGAATGTTCCAGGAAAGCAGGCCCGAGAACCACGTGCAGCTTTAGGTCACAGTCAGCGCCGCCTCCTCCATCTGCGCCTGAGACCAGCAGCCGCGCCTCGCCCAAGTTGCGGGGTCGGGGCGCCCACTGCTCCCGGGTCTCCTCCGCCACTAAAGGAAGCCCGGAGACCTTCTGAAACCTGAAAATTATCCCCCTCCCGTCACAACCCATGGGTAGGGCCAGGAGGACGTGTAAAAATGGGGCACCCACTTCCCACCGCTGGGCGGAGCCGCTGCTGCAGCCATCGCTTCTGACCCAAGAGCGCAGGGCTTGTCCCTCTCTAGCACAGGCCCCAAACCAGGCGACGCCCTTCGGGTTTCATGGCACGGCCCGCCAGGTTCCTCACCCAGGCCCGGGGAAAAGAACGGAGAGGAGGTGGGACACAGGGACCGAGGACCTGTAAATACCCTTCCCCCTTCTGGGTGTATGACCAGAAAAGTGGGACTCATTCGGCGTCCATCAACTCCCCGGCGGGGAACCCAGGCATGCCATGAGCCCTTCCTCGCCCCAAACCCCAGCAGCCCAGCTGCACTCACATCCCCACCTGGCTTTCTTTGCCCTCGAGACCCTCAGATGGCGACCCTCCTAGGGCCTTCCCGGATGGAAACAGTCCCAAGCACATGTCGGTTCAAATCCCGCCTTGGCAATGGATTTGCTGTGTGGCCCCCAGTCAGTGTCTTCGCCTCTCTGAACCTCAGTTTTCTCATCTATACAAAACGGACACGGACACAGGAGCGCTACACACTGACGATTTATTCAAGACCCCCCCAACCAGCTCTCGGGCACCAGGCAGCCTCTCAGAAGATCTTCAGAGACTCCAGCTTCACGTCCCCGCCCACCTCCACCAGGCGCACGCGCGCCAGTGGCAGCCGGTGGCGGAAGTGGTGGTACTGCGCGTCCCCGATCACCGCCTGCGGGGCGAGGGGCGGGATGAGACATGTGTGACCCTGTCACTTAATGCCTCTGGGCCTCGGTTTCCCTTCTGGGAAAATGGGGCTGCTCACTCGAACTTCAAATGACTTTACTCCTTGGCACAACGAAAAGGTGCTTTTTGAAGATGTGGGAGGGGATGTCAGAATTTGTATTTCGCCGTCCAGTACCCCGCCCCTGGAGCCTAGCGATAGAGCCTTAAAATCGCCGAAGGTCTGGGTGGTGGAGGGTCTGCGGCCACCGATCCCGGCTAGGACAAGTTCCTGGGAGCGGCCTCCAGCCCAGCCCCGCCCTTGCCTTGCGCAGAGCCCAGATCTCGGGCGTGAACGAGCAGGCAGGGCCACGCGTCAGCACTAGGAGAGCCACCCCGCGGGCACCCAGCTCCTACTCACCTGGTGCTAGCCCTGCTGTCTGTGGTAGGTGCGCAGGCGCGAGCGAGAGGCGCTGTGGGGACCGCCCTGCCCCGCCTCAGCCGCGCCGCCCCCACCCTCCCACCTCCGCGGCCCATCCGCAGTCGCCACCAGACCCCCAGCCCTGTGCTCTTGGGACCCAGCTTGGGGCGCCTCTCCCTGTCACAGACACGCACCTTGAAGCCATCTTCGGTGGCGATGAGCAGCACCTCGAAAGGTTGTCCCCGCTGGAAGGGGATTCCCTGGCCGCGCTCCTCCTGGCCCCAGGCGCCCTGCTCCAGGCTGTTGAAGACCACCGTGCACTGGTCCAGCCGAGGGTTGAAATGCAGGGCGATATCTGCGCCCTGCCCCTCGCAGCACAGCAGGTCCACGTGAAACCTGGAAGTGCCCAGACCACCGTCAAGGGCCAGTGGGCCGGGTCACCCACAGCCACAGTACCCTCTTTGACAGGGACCTGAGGATGTTACACACCACAGAAGGAAGCCTTGTGAGCTGCTGGCTAGGGAGCTCAGGTTCCCAAGGCAGCCTACGGTTTCTCTGGGCCCCTGGCACACAGCCAGCCAGACCAAAGTCACTGTGCTCCTGTGCCCTCTGTTTTCAGAGTCTGGGAGCTGCCAAGGCATGGCACTGCTGATGGCCAGGGTGTCCTAATTCCCCGGGAACCCTCAGTTCCCAGGGAATTGAGGGACAATCCCAGGAGCCCCAATATGTTCAGAGCACCCTGTCATTCAGAAGGACCAAAGGGCCCTCCCAGAGTGGGGAGGGCCTGCCAGCGTGCAGGGTGTCTCCAGGACTCAAGGCACATCTCCAGAGTTATGGGGACTCAGACGTGAAAGTCAGAGGACTCTGTGTCTAGGACCTGGAACTCTACATACTTAGGGGGTCTTGGGGACCTGAGCCACAAGGGCACAGGGCAGCTAAAGGAACACATCAGATTTCAGAAAGGGAGAGTTGGCCTGGGGACGCCAAGACTGGTAGGCAGAGATGGCCCCAAGACCACCGTGTCTGGGCTGCATGAATTGGGGTCACCTGAGTCTGAGGACCTCCTCTCTTCCCCCCGGGTGCTAGAGTCTCACCTGCCAGCCTGGCAAGGAATGACACCTCGAATTCTGAGCACAGTACCTGGGCGAATGCCCTCACACAGCGTGGTCCTGTGGGGGACGTTCTGCAAGAGCAGAGTGTGGGCACATCTTGAATCTGGGAGATGGAAGACCATCACCCCACAGAGGGGCCGACCAGAACCCAGACCAGCAGAAAGCAGTGGAAGAGAAAAGGGTTAGCCCAGATGCCTGAGCCCAGAACACCCCACAACATACTCCTGCCCCTTTCTCCGTGGACAAGGCAGCTCTGTGCCAGGCCCCAGCGCCCTGCCCACATTGCCCAGCCTGGGCACCCAGAGCACTCACGGAGCTTACCGACATGGCTGAGACAGGGACAGACAACGGTGCTGGTGGTGGGGAGACTGCTGGGGACTTTAATAAAGGCAGGCAGGGCGGGCCCTGATGAC